CAAAGAGGGTCGTCTGTTTTGTTGTTAGGAATTCAAAGAGGGTCGTCTGTTTTGTTGTTAGGAATTCAAAGAGGGTCGTCTGTTTTGTTGTTAGGAATTCAAAGAGGGTCGTCTGTTTTGTTGTTAGGAATTCAAAGAGGGTCGTCTGTTTTGTTGTTAGGAATTCAAAGAGGGTCGTCTGTTTTGTTGTTAGGAATTCAAAGAGGGTCGTCTGTTTTGTTGTTAGGAATTCAAAGAGGGTCGTCTGTTTTGTTGTTAGGAATTCAAAGAGGGTCGTCTGTTTTGTTGTTAGGAATTCAAAGAGGGTCGTCTGTTTTGTTGTTAGGAATTCAAAGAGGGTCGTCTGTTTTGTTGTTAGGAATTCAAAGAGGGTCGTCTGTTTTGTTGTTAGGAATTCAAAGAGGGTCGTCTGTTTTGTTGTTAGGAATTCAAAGAGGGTCGTCTGTTTTGTTGTTAGGAATTCAAAGAGGGTCGTCTGTTTTGTTGTTAGGAATTCAAAGAGGGTCGTCTGTTTTGTTGTTAGGAATTCAAAGAGGGTCGTCTGTTTTGTTGTTAGGAATTCAAAGAGGGTCGTCTGTTTTGTTGTTAGGAATTCAAAGAGGGTCGTCTGTTTTGTTGTTAGGAATTCAAAGAGGGTCGTCTGTTTTGTTGTTAGGAATTCAAAGAGGGTCGTCTGTTTTGTTGTTAGGAATTCAAAGAGGGTCGTCTGTTTTGTTGTTAGGAATTCAAAGAGGGTCGTCTGTTTTGTTGTTAGGAATTCAAAGAGGGTCGTCTGTTTTGTTGTTAGGAATTCAAAGAGGGTCGTCTGTTTTGTTGTTAGGAATTCAAAGAGGGTCGTCTGTTTTGTTGTTAGGAATTCAAAGAGGGTCGTCTGTTTTGTTGTTAGGAATTCAAAGAGGGTCGTCTGTTTTGTTGTTAGGAATTCAAAGAGGGTCGTCGTGCAAGCCAAACAGCACCACAAGTCATATTCAGTCACAAAGAACCCCCACTGGAATTGCAGGGAACTGGTGCCAAGACAGGCGATAACATTGGATATATCACGTTTGGTTAGTAACCTTTCTGATGCAGTATCTTTTGTTATCCTTGCCCTGTGGGTGTAAATGATGAAGGAGAATCTAACCAATTCTTGGGTAAAGTGAGGGGGACTTCTAGGCATTTTTAGGACATACGCTGCAGTATTAGCTGCCATTACTGTACACAGCCTTTTTCCCCTGAAATCTAAAGCTCATGACCCACTTGGCGATTTTATTCGTCGATCGCGGCAAATTTGGTCACTGGTGATAATCGCCGATATCTGACTCTCCAGATGTTGGCGATTTTATATGCCGATCATGGAGATCGGTGAAAATCGCGATCACTGCAACAGGCACACCGGGCAATTTTTGCAGATCACCGCGTCTAAGATAATAATAATAATAATAATGATTTAGCTGTGGACAATCCACGAGGTGGTTCTTCATGTCAACTGTTCCCGGTCAAATTGGAATTTGGAATGTTAGTTTTTGCAGAGAACTACAGGACCCAGAGAAAAACCCTCAGAGCACAGACAAGAACCAAAAACAAACTCAACCCACATGTGATGACAGGTTGTGGTATCGAACCCATGTTACAGTGGAGGGAGGCGAGCGCTGTCAACAATGTACCATCCCTGCTTCCTCCCTTATGTCTAATTGTTCTCTTGGAAATTTAAGGTTTATCAAGCAATTATCACTGACTTATTTGCTATGCCACAACACCGAGACAAAGTCCTACAGAAAAACTACAGAATTTCTCTAAATACGTATTTGGATAGGCCATTCCATATGAAATAGGGGAGCACTTTGTCACTCGTCCCAGATCTTCTACCTGTCCAATAGGGCAACTGAATATATTCGCCGCACTGAATCTCGCTTATACCGACTACCGCCTGCAAGCAGGTTAGAAGTAAGGTGGCCAAAGCTACTGGTGCTTATCCTCAGTTTCTGTGGCATGGGATGACTCAGACTTCTCCCCTGGAGGGATACTAGTCCAAACATTTCATTATGTTTCCCTGACAGTTAACCAGTACCCATTTATATTCCTGGGAGGAGAGGAGAGAGGCATGGTGAGAGCAAGTGTCTTTCCCAAGAACACAGCCATGCAACCCCCCAAGGGCTCAATCTCAGAGCTCTCAGGAAAAAAAAATGGTACTCTGTATTTCCTTGAATAAGCACCCAAGCTCTAATAAGCACCTTAGCTCCAATAAGCACCCACCCCAAGGCCATAATGTCAAACAAGAACCCTCCCTCCTCCCCCACATTCTCAAGTGGTAGGGATAGGAGGAAAACTATTTCCATTGACATTTCAGTTATAACCTTTTATGCATCATCTATGGCAGATGCATCCCTTCAATAATTACTACCCTCCCTTTAACCAAGAGAAATCCGAAGATGTTACCTCCTGTAGATCGAATTTTAAGCGCAAGTTTGTTTCTTTCGTGAAGTCACATCGTTTGAGACTGTTAGGAGATTCTGACCGCGATGGAAAAAAATTCTTGTGTTTCATCAACTATCGACACTGCCACAGAGGGTTACAAGCTAAGCTCTCGTCCTGTGCAAAACAGGTCTGGTAAAATGTTCATAGACACAGAAGTTAAACCTCAAGCCGGAGACACGATCATGGATCTCGGGTGCGGTACAGGAGAGCTGTCTGCGCATCTGGCTCAGCTTGTTGGACCCAGTGGAAAGGTTTTGGGTGTTGATCCGGATAAAGAACGCCTTGAACTTGCTAAACAATCATACAGTGATATCAAGAATCTTTCCTTTGCTGAAGGCAGCGCTGCAAACTTCCCAGGTATGGGTTCAGAATGCTACGACATTATCTTCAGCAACTATGTGCTACAATGGATTCCGAACAAATCCAACGCTTTCCGGAATATGTACGCAAGCCTAAAGCCGACTGGTCATGCCAAACTAGCAGCTCAGTACGTCAGCTATCTATTCCCATTCATGACAAGCGCCTTTGAGGAACTGAATCCAGAAAATGCAGAACATTTACTTGGCATGTTCAATTTTGAAGCGAGATCAACGATCGAGCAATATTGCTTTGCCGCGGGGTTTGGCATTGTCAAAAGCTATGACATTCAGAGCGCACAATTTGTATTTGAGAGCATCGAGGCGCTTTTGAAGTGGCTTTGGTCGACAACACATGGTTCCTTTGATCCTACACTAGTAACCGAAGATCGCCTGCAGAACTATTATCCATATTCAAGCCGAAATGGTCAGCCTCCATTTGACTTTAGTGGTATTAAAGAAGAGTCAACGATTTGTCGATTAGTGGCTACCAAACAGGTTTACTAGGACGCCACGAAGCGTCTATTTATGTACACTAACATCGATTTCCTGTTGAAGTAAATAACCGGTATTTTAGTGTCCCCAATTAGCAGTCAAGCTAAAGTGATTATGATACTTAAAATAAAGTTCCTATCTTAATGCTAAATATGCTTTCTACATTGTGTTCTACAATATGCCTTCGCTCCGACGAAGGGCTAACGCTCGAAACGTCAGGTTTTGTAATCGTTACGGTGGCCAATTTACCATTTCAACTTTGTT